AAATGAAAAAATGCTTACCGTACTTTCGCAGAGTTCAAATGAGTGTCTTCGCTCGTTGATAAAAACTGAGTGAATGCACGACCACGCTTGCTAGCGAGGTCACTAAGCAAGCCATTTGCCTAGAGGGGTTGCGATGTATTGACCTTCACCTCCACCCCTACCCTGTGTCACGCAATGCTACGTGACTGTAACCAACAAAAGACCAGAGGGATAAAACATAAAAATTCTATTCGCAGGCAAATATTTTATTTTTCACCCAAAAAAGTCACTTACGTCAGTCTTGCACTAAGCTATTCAATTCTCGCCTTGGATACCTCTCGGTTGAACTTCCTGTGGTCGCACATTAGCCCACCAGTATCCTTAAATGGTCGTATAAGCCAGGTTTTGTTTGGATGAGCAGTGTCTCCCACGATAAGTGGGTGCACTACAGTTCCCCCTAAGTCAAATGTGGGTTCCATTAGAATATTCTCATCTTCAGCAGCCCAATAAACGTTAGTTAAATGTAACATCCAAGCATTGTGTAGACTTCCAGGAAAACCAGTGGCAACGGATAAATAGAGGCCAGAGGCATCAACTATTCTCTGTACTAAAAAAACTGTAGAAATGTTTCCAGTTAAAGTAGTCTTCACGGTTAATTTTTGGGGCCTTAATAGGTATATGGCTTCCATCTATTGCTGCAGCTACACTAGGTAATTTACTTATGTTGTCAAAGCCTTTCAATTTATTTAGCTATCTCTGCTGCAGTAGATGGAAACTTGATAAACTCATCTTGATGTTGGCAGATTTCTTGAACAAATTCATGGCAACACTTTATGAGAGTCAGTTTTGCCAACCCAACCATCAGTCCACACGAATGGTAGCACTCTCCAGTAGCTCGTTGCCACAGGCTTGCACCGATGCGCTTTGGAACTGGAATGGCATCTCGCGTCCTAGTGTTTTGTCACTGGAGCACCAGTCCAACAAGCTGGCATACTTATTCAAAGGTATCGCAAGAAACCTGAAGGTTTTCCTTCCACCAGTGATCCAGTGCATTGTTATTTAGAAGTTGCTGAAACCAATTCTGTGGTCGTGGAAATACAAAGCTCTTCTTGGCTGGCGAGCAAGTTCGCGATGAGGTCATAAATGTAAATAAAATGGCGACAAACCTTGAAGGTAGCCTAGTTGAAAGCGCCTTCTTTGGTGTCTTCTCACAAAAAACTGCTGGATGGTTATATTTATGGAGGATTGTCGAATAATAAGCAGGAGAATCACTGAAATTAAGCTTATTATATCTCGATTTGTGTCATTCATGTTGATCCACACTTTTCCCACCAATTTGCAAGGTCAGTTGACTCATGTCTAATTATATTTTACCCTGAGGGGTGTCTTTTACTGTGTAACCACATCCCCAAGGGTAACATGAAACCTGAGCTGAACCAAACCCAAGCCATTTACCTTCCGGAAGGCCCCAAACCCAAGGTGTGTGTAACCACTACTATTGTATCCCTATGCATCTATATCTATTCATATGTCACTTGTATGTACTCATATGTACTCGTGAGGTGTTTTAGTATCGGCTTTTCTATTTTTTTACCTCTATTAGGTGGCAAACACCTCGTACATGACTACTATCCATCTCCCAAGGGTGGCCGTTTAATAGGGGTTGAAGTGTACATGAAAGATTTTAAGACATTTGTTGTCACATAGATAGATATCCAAAGGAAACATTTTGATAAGAAGAGTGAGAGTTTGTAAGTGAGTGTAAAGAACAGAACAGAGACAACTCTTTCTCATCCTCAGTACAGTGAACGTTCTCGTTCTGTCCATATCAAATCACTCAGAACTCAATACATATACTCAATTTTTTGGCAGACACTACTGTCTTTATTGCCTGGAATACATTAAGTGAGATCAAACATCCCATGAAACATCAGATGACTGATTACAACTATTGAGCAACTTATAAGCTATGTAAAACTGATTACCTTAAGTTTTACTCCGTCGTCTGAGGAATTTGTTGAGAAGAGGCAACTTGATCTGAAACGTATGATGAATTTTACGCAGTATGACAAACATTTTCCATACTTATTTTATAAGAGCAACAGACCCCACTTTTTATGGGTTTATAGGCGGTAACAACCCACTTAAAACTTTCCTCATGTTCTCCTAAGCATAAGCACGTTTGTATTACCCCTATAAAGGCATAAAGAGGTAGTGTGCTTTACTGCTTGAATAACTCACAGCTAGGTCTTACCACTTACGCACACTAGTACAGAACTATAAAATGTACTTACCACGGTTCCAAGCCGGTTAAACATTAGCTCAGTCACTTTTCATCTAAAATAAGCCCCTGTTTTACCGTTTGGCTGAGCAGAACAGTCAAGGCCACAACACCAAATGAAGGATCCACTGGAGGGTAAGTCTGGTGCCAGCAGCCGCAGTAATCTCAGCTCCAGTAGCATATACAATGGTATAGACTCACAAATGATGGACATAGCATGTGGGGTTCCACAGTGGTCTGTTCTTGGCCCTCCTCTATTTTTGATTTACCTTAATGACATAACTGCTTCAAGTAAAGTGTTTTCTTTCACATTATTTGCTGATGACAACAAACATATTCTGTAATAGTACAAGTTTGAATCAGTTACTCTCAGTGACTAATAATGAGCTAGCAAAGCTTTCAGTTTGGTTCAAAGCAAATAAATTATCTTTAAATATGTCTAAAAAATATTATTATTCTCAAATAGGAAAAATATTCAGAACGAAGACCATCAATCTTAAGATAGATTAAAGCATCATAAACAGAGCTAGCAAATGCAAGTTTCTAGGTTCACATCAGTTTGATAACTAATAAAATATATATGTCTGGATTTATGAAAACGGTGTTAAAGACTGAATCATGTTTTTTGATTTATTTGTTTTTTTAATTTGTTTTTTTGCTTTTGCTATGACGGCAGCTTGTAAATCTCACCTAGCATGAAATGTAGAAACTCCTTGCCACATGTTTCATTTATTTAGGGTTTTTTTCATTATTTATCGACCACCATCTCCCCCCACCCCCTTTTCGATTTGTGTTAAGTTTAGCGCAGGCTGCACTCATCTGAATTCAGTTCATGCAGTGACTCTGACAAGGAGCAGCCGATTAGCATTCTGTATTTGCTGTCTAAAGGAAGTCTGCCTGAGGACATCATTAAGTCCAATGAAGGCCCAATTCTAACAATTTGCTAGTAAGCGTCATCCATTATTGTACGTGAGGCAGGACTGAGATGTGTAAACTGTATGGGTCACATTTAGTCCTGTAACAGTAGGCCGTTTGCCCTGTGGCGATAATGTTGTGCTTGCTTTAGACAGCAAAAATCTTTAGCCACATCAATTTAGGGCTTCGACATGCAATGGACTAGACATTTCTAGCTGCTGTTGGCGTCATTTGCTCTGAACTTTGATGTAGCTTAAGACAAAAACATTTGTTGAAATCTGGGTGTGCCATTGCGCTCTCGACAAAATTGAAGTACATCTGGGACATTGCTATTTGCGAGCAAAACATGGCCACAAGCAGAGAGAAGAACATGAGGTCAAGCGCTGATTGTCAGTAGAATTTCATTGTTTTATCAATTTTAGGCGTTCTCAGCTTAGCTAACTATCAGAACTGTCTGATTCGCTAGCGTGGAAGAAATTTATTTGCGTGGCTTCCGGCAATAATTGACGTAACGACAACTGTTGAGTGTTCACTTACTGCTAACTATGCCCTAGTTTGTTTGAGGTTCAATTGATTCTCAATGTAGGAAGCTCTTGTTCAGTCCATTTAGGACAATGCAGGCCTTTAGAAAGTGATAGATTAGCTCTCCACCATGGTTTTGATATCTGTACGTTCGTGTTGAGTTAGACTCCAATTTCATGTTAAAAGCACTCTTAATTAAATTGTACAATTCATGATTCAACAAAAAGACGGTAAATTTAATCTTCCTGGCCTCAAAAGGCATACAGGAGAGTTATTTCCTGTTATTTGAGCTATGATAAGCCTTGTGGAAAGCTAGCTCTAGGACAGAATTGTATCAAGGTTATCAGTGACAAGTAAAGTTCTATGGCTATGTTTTTGCAAATCCAGTCTGACCGATTTTCCAAAAACATGCCCGCTATTTTGGTGCAAAGTCTTTAACACGGTTTTCATAAATTCAGACATATGTATATAAAAAAACATTGCAATCATGTTTAAGGAGGGACAATGTTTAACTGAAAAAGTAATCAACACTTTATACTACTCCCTTGTTTACCCATATATCCACAATTGTAACATTAGTTGGACCAACAATTATCGAACAAGTTTGTCTAGAATTGTGAGCAGCACTGAGGAATGTAAGCTTAAAGATTAAGTATGGAGAGAGTACAATTAAGACCTAGAAATATCTCTTTTTACGTTTAAATTTTATGACAATCAGCTTCCTAAAAATATGACAAATCTTTTCCCAGCTAATTCCCAAATACGTAGTTATGATACACGGCATCCAGATGACCATGTAAATCATCGAGACTTGGACAATACTCATTGGCCTACCAAAGGTCCAAATATATGGAACAGTATAGATAGCAAAACACATAAAATCAAATCATTACATTTATTTAAGAGAAAGATGAAAAGTAATATAATTGACAAAACAGCAGTGGCTAACTATCCCCGAAAAAAAAATGCACATTAATTTTATGGCTTCTTTGCTTACTTTCATGAGAATTAGAATAACAATAATGGCAGATGAGAAGAATTCAAAATTGGCATAAACTCTATTTCTCATCATTAAGTCTATCATAATGACACAATAAGCTAGCTAAGTTGCAGTTGACCTCAATTTCAAAGGGATCTATAACTACAAGTAATTTTTTGCTTTTTTCTAGACTCCA